TGGGGATACAAAGAAGAATGTGAATACGTTGGGTCAGTGAGAAGACTTAAGAAGATCTGAGTACTTCGTAGATTATTTATGTCTAATGTCATACAAACTCAGGAATCTACAGGCGAAAATCAATAAACTATCCAATAAGAAGTAGAAAAGACAAAAAATCCAAGTGAACACAGAGAAGATGAAGGTGATGAAGCTAACCTTACTTACTTTACTTTACTTTACTTCGGCTATCTCCTACGGGAGGATGAGCCGGCTTCATGAACGTCTCGAATCATCGCTGCCCAGGCGCGGCAATTTGTAAGAGAGTTCATGAAGTTTCATGGGAATTTGGTACGAGTGATGTCCCCAGCATCGCCCGGCCTTTTGTTTGAGAGTGCAGCTCTAGCCTTCACACAGCCAAGTGTGACCTACAAGGCAGTAGGAGTGGAGTAAGGAGTCCACTATCCATTGGCAGCCGGTGACCGGAGTTCGGTTCATACGCCTTTTTGAATGGGGCCAGACATCCAGGACATCCAACAAGCCCTTTGTCCATACGTCTGCCGGTGAGCTCCAGTGAGCTTCATACGCCAGTCGTTGGAGGTTTGGAATCAGGGTTTAGCCATCTCCCCTAGACCGTCATCCAATGGACAGTCAACCCGGTGGAGAGCGCCGGGCATCCGCTTTCGCCCTCTCACTTTGGTGAGAAACACCTCCGCCACGTGAAGGCAGTGAGTAGGACTTCCTCAGGAGAGGCTATGTAAGACACCCGGTCATATGGGAGCATTTCAAGAGGTGTGCGGAGGGGTGGCCAACCCGCAGCGCAAGGCACCCACCCCCGACCATCCTGAGGCATTGGAGGCGATGAAGCTAACCAATCAACTGAGAACGATAACAACAAGTGCTGATCACTATCAATCGAAGAAAATTGAAACAGATCACTTGCTCCACTTACCTAGGTAACATTGCAACAACAGAAGACAAGGGCCAGGCGACAGATCATTTATTAAGGAAATCAACACATATTTATAGATTTTCATGTACATTATTATTATTATAGATTATTGTTAGCAGAAAGACGCAGTCTTCTGATTGGTTGTTTCTCATTGAAAGTTAATCTTTCATCTCTTTGTGACTGTTTCTTGAATGTTAGGTCATCTATATACTAACTGTATCCGCCTACGCAAAGTCTGCTTTGATTGATTTTTGAGTCAGTCTTTGTTCTTATTTTCACATGACAAATATTGGGGATGTAAACATTGACGTAAATTGCTGTCTACCAATTTGGCTAGCAGCCAGCTTTCACCACAACATCATTTTAACTACAGACGGATGAGAACGTCAAAACCACTGGTGCATAAACAACAAGACTAGGATTTTCAACATTAATGTTAAGCTAGCCGGTCAGTCAGTCAGTCACTTCTTCTATGTGGATCAGAAAATTAACGCTGCTGTGTCAAAAAACAACACTTCGAACAGGCCAGTGCAGACTTTTATCAATAACTGTTCACTTCGCTGGCCCCATACTGAAGATCAGAGAGCATTAGCTACAAGAAACTCTGGCAGTCAACGAACCAATCAACAACCTATTGCTCAAGAGATATACCGTGGGATATGAAGATAGTTTGGACATACGCTGTGGAGATCGTTGGTTAAATTGCCTGACCAATAGCTGCTACCTTGACGTGGTGGTCGCTGGGCTTGCACATTGCAATGACCCAACAAGCTACACTGGCTGGTATCATTGTTCCTGCAGGTACTACCATGCTAGGAAGGTTGTTAGGTTAGCGATTAGACTAGGAGCACTTACCGGCATAGTGTAAGAATTTTTTTACACTATGCTTGGGGTCTGTAGGCGAAGTCGTACTGCTGGGGAATGTAACAGGGATGTAACAGCAGTGAGGTGTTTCTCTTAGATGGCCAGAATGCCAGCCGGCTATGCTGTCTCTCCTCTCTGGAAAGGGGGATTAGAAATGGTCGATCCCAATAATTGTAGATCCCGACTTACCCTACAGTGGTCCGTAACCAAACCATGAAACCAGTTCATGCAGGCCATGTGTGACCGACTGGCCTCAATCAAGTTGTTCCCTAGGCCCTGCAGTCACACAACACTAACCTTCTTTCTATCTCAGGTACTCGGTGTGGGCAGCCGGGAAGTAACAACCGCCCACCCACCCACACTTCCAAGAGCACACGCGCAAATTGCACATCAGGCCATCACTCAGCTAGAAGGTAGATAGGAGACAAGGAGTTGGGTGTCACTTTGACAGTGACGTGAAGCCGAATTCAGTGGATAGGACAATGTGAAAATATTCTGTTGAAGCTGTATGTTTCACTCAGAACCCAAGGGAATAATAACGATAATAATACGGAATAAATTTCCCTTTAGCTATTTAGATAATTTGGGGGAGTTAACTATAGTAGACTGTCATGTTGGATTGATTAATTCGAGAGTACGCCTCTTGCAGAATTAATCCACCTTTTCATGGGCAACCACGCACAAGCGCGCACACACACAGAGTAGTGTTGTTGCCCCAACGAAGCACACAGCTTGTCATTTTGTACTGATTATTAGACAACTGTAAGACTGGAATGGACAATACTTACATTTTAATAGTTTTTGTCCAAACAGCTATAAACGGGCACTAGCCAAGACTGTGCTACAGAGCTAGGAGAGTATGTTCCGCAGAGAAACTAGAGGAAGAATTTACGATCCTCGAAAAGGGGTTGAAAAACAACGGTTATGCTCAAAGATTCATTAACAAATATGGAAGATATGAAGGCTCAAATACCAAACAAATCACAGTGGAGAAAAAGAAACCTGTTTTCATTCAACTAGATTTTAAAGGTGAAAACATTGCAGAAATGATCAACAGAAGACTGAGAACGTCACTAGCCAGAGCCTATCCTGCAGCTGGCTAAGTTGAATCCCGTCCATAGAACAACATGCTCTTTGGGGCAGTCAAAAATCGATAGATACCCTTCTCATGTATACAAATTTACGTATATCTACGGGAGCAGTTAGATTGGGAGAACAAAAAGAAGAAGGGCACACCTCCGATTTTCTGAGCATGTGCCGAAAAGCCTACGTCTCAAGGGAACAGACTCTTATAGTAGCGCTATTATCAGACATCTCCTCGACACGGGTCATGTGGTGGAAATCGCGAAATCTTTTAAAATTATCAATAGAAGAAGGAGCTCGACTCTCCTCAAGTTTGCTAAAGCAATTTCTATCAAACGCTTGAAACCAGACTTATGTGTACAGAAAGAAGCAGTTATTAGTCTTTCCTTGTCCTGTTTGGTAATTGGATGTCTTTATTCTCTCTTGCCTTCATCTGATTACGTAATCTTTGGCCTAAACCTCGACCCTTTGACAGAGTGTAATTTTGCTTGTTTCTTGTTTTTGAGATTTGAGTTGAACTCAGTACATTGTTACCTAATTTATTAGTCACTCAGCATCTTACCTATCTCTCATCTTTATTACGTAACTCCCTTACCATTGTATGCATGCATACATTTATTTTGTTTAAGCTTGAACTGCCTGTATAAAAACTATATAAACGCAATTTTCTGAGAACTGTTCACTAACTGTGGAACTTTCTGTCAACTGATATCATGAAAGCAAAATTTGCAAGTATGTTAAAACTTTTCTGTACATAAACCTCATAATGTATTTAGGCTGTAAGCGAGCAGCTGAGCTGATGAGAAGCCAACGAAATAAGCGATGATGGTACCATATTAAACTGCACAAACCACCACTGTTGTTCTTGCTTTATTCAAATTCATCAAGGGGAATAAATACATGAAGGGACTTCTTTTTTTTAAACCAAACGTCTTCATCACAGACCGATTGTATACTTCCAGTGTAACTGTTGTTGTTGTTGCTGTTGGTTTTTCCACTGAGAACAAATATGCCCTAGGGATAATTATTATATCAAGTAATCCACAACGGGAAACTTACGGAAACTTTCGAAGTAAAGACAGGAGTAAGACAAGGCTGGGTGCCTGCCTACTATCTTCAATGATTTTTCTGATTGCAGTAGAGTGGATAATGCGATAGACAGACAGACAGACAGTGGGCTGGGTAGCGAGGAGACAGGCATAATGTGAACCCACACAAAAAACTTGAAGGATCTGGACTTCGCCAATGACATATGTCTGATTTCCCACAAAATGGAAGATATGCAATTGAAAAGCAACAAGTTGACAGAGGAAGAAGCATCAAAGCTGGGAAGGACTTCAGGTGAACATACAGAAAACAAAGGTAATGATGAAAATTCCTGGCCAACAGTAATAGCGACAACAACAACAGCAGACAACAGTCAGCATGAATGGGTGGAGTTTGTAGGAAGCAACCTTCGTTACCTACCTACCTGGGAAGCATCGTTTCAACTACAGGTGGACGGAGCTGATGAGGATATCATCAAAGCTAGGATCGGGGAAGTAAGGCAAGCTTTCATTACTCTCAAGTTTGTGTGAAGGACAACAGCACTCAGCATGAAAATGAAAATAAGATCCGGATTTTCAACTCCAATGTGAAATCAGTGCTACTATACGGATAAGAGACTTGGCGCGTCACGAACGGCTCCTCAAACAAACTACAGACCTTCATTAACAGTTGTCTTCGCTCAATACTCAAGGTCAGATGGCCGGCCAGAAAAGATTAGCAATAGGGATCTCTGGCAATGAGCGAACCAACCAGGAACCGATTGTGAAACAAATAGGCAGGAAGAAATGTACGTGAATTGGATTGTCCATACTCAGAGGAAACCATCAAGTGACATCACTAGACAAGCCATGGCTCGAGTGGAACCCGATTGAGAAGTGATGAGTTAGTTGGTCGTCCAGTGGTGGGGTGACTTGGAGGAGGTGATGTGAAGAGGAGATGAAAGCATGTGGGCAGACTTGGAGCGGGTGAAAAAGTTGACAGAAAACCGAACTCAATGGAGACTTGGGCGGCTGAAGCCCTATGTTCCTCTAGGAATTAAAGTATATAATAATATAATAATAAATAATAATTATATCACTCATGTTGTATAGGTTGTCCCCGCCTCCCCCGTCTGTAATGATTATTATAACAATTATGCAATCTACTTCGACTGGTGTTTAAGAAAAGAAAAAGAGGAATCATTCCTGTAGAAAATGCGATAAAACTGTATAATTTATTTATTTATTTACTTATTGATTTGTTTATTTATATTTAAATCATTAAAATCTGGAAAACAAAAGAGGAAGAAAAGAGAACCAAAATGGAGAACGTGGAGCAGGAGGAAGAGGAAGAGAATAAATGAGGAGAAACACATAAAGAAATTGTGAATACAGTCCAAAAAACACAAACAAGCAACATATTTATATTTGAGTGTGTGTGTGTGTATAGTAACGGGAATTTTACAAAAACTTGGTTTCTCTGTTAATTAACTGATCATGATCAATGATGAATAGTGTCTAGGTGTCTCTCTGTCTGTGTATATATATATGTGTGTGTGTGTGCGTGTATGTGTTGTGCACGACAGAACGCGCTTACATTCGCCTACTTGTGTAGTATCAAACACATGAGTAGTCTCAATATTATACATATGTATTTGTATAGATATGTATATATCGAGTGAACCGTCAACCTACTATTATCATCATCAATATCGTTATCAACATCAATAAATCGATTTATCAAACAAAATCAATAATTGACTGACTGACTGAATGAATGAATAGATCAATCAATATATGAAACCAGTCACATAAATAGAATTGAAAACGGGGACAAATATATTGTTATATGTATGTAGGTATGTGTGTGGTTTGTTTCTGTGTGTTGATGTGCGTTTTTCACGTCAGTGTAACAATTACAGGACAGAAATATAGTAGTAGTCAAGTCATTTTATCTTTTGAAAAATATCTATATATATGTATATTTAAACAAGACAATTTCATTTTTCGTTTTTTTTCTAATATATTCTTAAGAAATTCGACATATTCTGTCGCTCACAAAAACTTCTGCTTCAGCTGCTGACGACAACGTCGACTTGAACGACGAAAACGACGGCGATGAAAACGACAAACAACAACAATAACAACAAGAAAAGAGAACAGTCAAATATTGATAACCAAAAAACAAAGAAGGAAGGAACTATATAACTGTGAAACACCATAGCAACTAGGAGGAGTTGGTTGTGTGTGTATGTGTTTGTGTGTGTGCGTGGATCGGTGGGGAGTAGGTAGTAACGTCAAATGAGAGTGACAATAACATTGTGGAAAGAGGAGATCTACTAATATAAACTGTAACAATAGTAAATAAGTAAGTTGGTAGTTAGCTATTCTAAGTAAAAGTAAGGAGGATATCTTAACCAACTGACCAATCATCATCAAAGAGTAAGAAGTGATGTTAAAGACGGGCGGTTGGGCGGGCGATGTAAGGGAGGCGCCGGGTAAAGTAAAAAAAACACTTGATTAAACACCGAAGCGGATAGTAATTAATAGTGCTTACAGTATGGAAAGTCATTAATCAATTAAATTACTATTGACAATACTTCTATTAGTAATAATAATAATAATAATTAAGTAATAGACAGCAGTGTTGAGTGTTATTATTATGAATAATACTTCTAATAATAAATTCACAGACAAAAACAAACAAACAAACAGACGCACCAGAAAGGAGGACATATACATAAACACAACGACAGTAAAATAAGAATAATAAAATAGAATCGAACTAGGAACCCCTGATAATGATGATGATAATAGTAATAGTAATAATAATAATATTTGAAAATAACATCTACACACGGGTGTTAATATTGACAATCAATAATGACAATAATAATGAGGATAGTGATGAAGAACAGCTGTTTGTCGGCGCAATGTCCACACAGTCATTATGAATGAAACATACACACGCCCAGAGACAAAGAGAGAGAGAGTTGGGATGGGGGGCAAATAAGACCCAAAATATAGATACCAGTATGGAAATGAACATAAAAGAATCATATGTACGTGTGTCAGCGTGTGTGTGTGTGTGTGTAGGTATGTATGAATGCGTGTATAACTAACTGGGTTAGACAACTTCAGGGGACTGAGCAGGAAGACGGAGAAGAAAGAGGAGGTGGAAGAGGATGTGTAGAGAATGTATCAAATGTTATGGGAAATAAGCCAAAAAAAAACGTAGAGATACATATAGATATAGATAGACACACGCACACACACACACGCAGATAGGAAACAAATGTAGGTAGTCAAACGTAAAAATGGACGACGTTGTTACATATTAGATGAACACATGACAGGCATACATACATATTCATCTATTCATTCACACACCTACATACGACCACACACACGTACAGGTTGAAAAAGAGAAAAATACAATAATCATTACGTAATCATGATGATAATAATAGTAACAGTAGCAGTAGTAATGGTAATAACACTAATCATCAAAGTCTAACGAATAAAGAAGGGAGCTGATGAAATAAAAGAGAAAAATGCACAGAGATAATAAAATATGGTCGTCAGATAGTCAGAGGTTGTCCTCTTCTGCTTCTGAGTCTTTTTCTTATTAGTGATGTTGTTTTACTAGAGTAGGTAGGAATCAATAAACTTACACCAAATATATAAATCATAAGTATAACACAGTACGATATTCATAATAGCTAGGTAGGTAGGTAGGTAGGTAGTAGAGCGGTATTAGGAAGCAGTATGTGTGTGTCAAAGGTCAACTTATAGTAAATAAAACAATCCATATACGAAGGTGGTGGGGAATGGGGGGACGTAGAGTTTACAAATAAAATGCACGGTTGCAATAATAGTAATAATAATATAATAGAGATGAGTTCCTCTGGGTGCGTTTTCATGTGTGTGTGCGTGAAGCTCAAGCTGAGAGGAACAGTTTGACTACCAAAATAACCCAATAGATGAGATATACACACGCATCGATCCATTTAGATCTTTTGATGTTTTGTTTCCCCTCAAAACTTGATCACAAAGAAAACATGAAGAGAAGTAGAGAGAGAGGGAGAGACGCGAAGGGGTGTTGGAAGGATTCTTTTTTGCTTTTAAGGGATACCTGATTCAAGTAGGGACGTGAGGGGGGGGACAGGTGGGATTTACTTATACATCGACAAGTAACCACTTTATTTTTTTATTTTACTTTATTCACACACACACACACGCATACGGAGCAATACACTTTAGTACATCACATCACATTAGAAGGGAAAAAATCACAGAATACAAGGAAAGTGACGACAGAAAACAGGGTGGTAAATGAAATTCGGTAGGTGAGGGGTGGATGGGTGGGGGAGTTTTTACTCCTAGAGAATTGAATTTACATAAAGGATAGCGCGCACACAAATATATATATATATATGTATATACAACACACACGACGCACGCACGCGCACTTCCTCATTCTGACGACAATAAAACGACAACAGGAAATAGAAGAGAGTATTTTAAACGGAGAAGTTGAATTCTGGCTACTACTAGGCAGTTTTATGGCGGCCTTGTTTGTGCGTCATTATTACCAAAGGTATAGTGAAATCAAATAAGAGTATGGTATAATAACAGTTATACTGATAGGAATATTAATAATAATAATAATGGTAATGCTAATAATAATAATAACAATAATAATAATAACTAGTAATGGTTGGTATATAATTCTAAAATATTAACTGAACATAACACATGTAATAGGAGGAAATCAGTTGGAGAGTACAGGGATTTACTGCGGGTTAACGGTAAACTTGTATACAGACGTATATATATATATATATATATATATATATATATATATATATATATATATTGTTGTCATGACGACTGCTATATTCTTCTCTGTTATAAACATATACTATTATTATTATCATTATTATTGCTATTTTAATAGGGGGTAGTTATTACATTTTACTAGTGTATGTGTGCGTGGGGTGGGTGGGTGGATGTGTGTACGTGTTTGTGCGTCGCCAGATATTCGCGTAAGAAGCATGTACAATACACAGACTCACTAACAATTGAGGAAATATAATTTGTAAGAGGAATTATTTGTTACCATTATTGGTATTATTATTATTATTAATATTAGCTGTAGAATTGGCAGTCGTAGCGGCGGCCTCAACTGAGGCGGCAGCAGCAGCCGCAGATAGATGGATATTTAGTGTACGTCGTTTTTTAGGCTGATGTGTATAAATTGTATGATTTTTCGGCAATGATACTGATGAATCATGAAGTTGAGGAATAAATTTAGCTGTTGCGTCATCATAATTTCTTACACTATTCTGATGTGATATATCCCATAAAGTTGAAGACTTATCAGCGGTTGACAAAGAACATTTTAACCAGATATTTGAATCAGTTGTTTCGCCTACACATGAATTTGACGTTTGTTGAGATTCTGAATGATCGATTTCTTCACCACTCCTTTGATGATCGTGATCATGATCACTGTCATCTTCATCCTCCTCCTCCTCATCTTCTTCAGGATCTCGGGGAAAACCATCAGTCTCAGAGGCTGTTGGTGTAGAAGAACTTTGACTATGTCCTTCTCCTTCCGAAGGACTTTCACGATTACAAGTACTAGCAGCAACAGCGGTGGCAGCTACAGCAGTAGGAGTAGTAATACTAGGAGTAGTCATCGTCGCCTGTAATATTTCTGGATAATTGCTTGTCTCCAAGCGTTCTTGTACATTAGGCAAAGATAAAGATGATGTAGAACGATGTATTTCATAATCGGAATCATCTTTGGATGAATCATTTTTGCGTTTTAAACTTGATGATAAGGATAACAGCCTTGACGATGATGTTGTTGACAAGGATCTAGACGACAAGGAATGTAAACTTCCAGTCTGATAATCATTTGAAGTGGAAGCATGCTTATGATGTGAATAAGCAGGAATAGGAGGCGGAGGGGCAGAGGCAGGAATAGAAACAACAGTAGAAGGAGTATTGCTTGTCATAGGAGTCTTTGAATGAATCTCATCTGATGTATTCATTGGCTTCAGTTTGTTAATACACTAAAATTGGTAATAAATAATAAAAATAATAATAGAAGCGAAGAGGATTATACATTACAAATGAAAATTAACGCATAAAAGACATACAGAAACAATACTACTGTCCGATGCGTTTAAGGTCTAACATGAAATCAAATAAATCTTTGCATAGTAACGCTTGAAAACTAATCCTAAAGCGTACTATTGACTGACTTCAAAAGATGAAGTTACCTAACTGTTGTCTTACGGTGAAGTCATGACCGCTGAGATTCACCAAACTGAGTATGAGGACAGATACCCACTGACGATGTTTACTGGCGGTCGCGACATATATCACCAATTAGCAGAAGTTAGAATTCATGAATTGGTTGGAGAATTTCATCATCCGTTGACATCAGTTAGTGAACCATTGGAAAACCAGCCCCAGGGAGTTGTAGTTTGGTACTCTTCATCAGTACGTACACTCACCGACAGGCTTCGAATCCAGGACCTTGTGGCAACAAGGCTAGCAAGCTCGTTGATATGTATCCATATATATATATATATATGTATGGTGGTCTCTCCTTCTGTTGCTCTCTTAGTCTGTGACCATTTCACTTTGATGAACCTGTCTCCTTTAACAATGTATATTCCCCTTATAGTATATATAATATGTGTGTTTGTTTGACAGTCTGATATATTTTGCTACGTATATATATGGATCGATATTCCATTATAATTAGCCAATCATGTTAAGACTGTCTATTGATTTGTTCATTTTGAATATTCGCTCACACACTTGTGTTCACAAACTTGTTCGGACATTCACATATATTTTGCTCTCACACTCTTGTGTGATACATTGATTGATTCTCCTGGTGTTTTGGAAAATAGAAGTATCATCGCAAACCTAGTGGTCTTCTGATTTCCGTCTTTCTTGCGTCAGGACTATTAAATTCTCGACCAGTACATAACAATAATTTGGCGACGAGTACATAATACTCGTAGACCATTTAGTCACTTGGATCCGACTGATCCAGTCCAGTCTAGCCGCCTAACATTCATTCAAACTGCACAATCATGCAGGGTCGTGCACCAACTAACTTGATAACTGATGGAATTTACCCAGAATTCAAACTAACGAAAACGGACATACATGAGACTGTTATTACTAGTTACACCCTAGTGACCAAACAATGTATACGCTCGAAATCTATACATATCTCTCTCAATACCTCCCTCTCTCTCTCTCTCTGTATATATACATATATGACCATTATAACCATGTGATTGTACAATCTATCCACCTCTCTAATATATTTCATTACAAGATCATATGACCTGTATCAGTTTAGTCTTAACCTACCTACCTAGCCAGCCAATAGAATCACTTCTTGACTAAGTAATAATAATAAAGATTTTTGTTTCAAAACAGCTATAAGAATCAAAGGTAAATACTCATGTGATATTATTATTATTTTTATTACTTTTTTCTTTTATTACAATGATTTATAATCATAGCTTTATATTATAACTAGAGATTTCGCATTCAAACATACATATATACTACAGTAGTATATTTACTGATAATAGTAGTGTGGTGTGTACTACTAATAGAATTTTGCAAGTAGTATATTGTATGTGATGTCTTCTGAATTAGTATGGAATAACAAAGTGACTCATTAAGTTGCTATAAGATGAATTAATAAAAGGGCATAGCAGTGGAGTACTCGTCGACCATGCATATGGTCAGGGGTTCGAACCTCGGACTCCACAGACGCACTCCTCCTCGTTTACCTTACTAAGCCAATAGGAAGACTGGTAAAGAGGGAAGGTTGGATATGAGGCTGGCTAGCAACCCCATCTTGTAAAAAAAATAATCACCACTGCTACAGAAACTTCAAGCCTCCAGCTTGAAGTCCTCTATGTTCCACGGAGAACGTAAAATAATAAAAACAAAACAAAAAACGAAACGATTTAAAGAATATGAAAGGAAGACAAAGGAAGGATAATACAATATGTAAGCAATTCTACGGTGATAGTAAACACGATGATGACGACGATGATGATGATACAAAAGCATGACCACTGCACACCTTTAGTTAAAAGGGAAACAAGGGAGAATGTGCAGGAAACAGAGGTGTGACCCAGGTTGTCAATCAAACGATTCAAAGCAGACTTATGCATACAGAAAGAGAGTATGATTAATCTCTCACTCCCCTGGTAACTGAGTTTTGATTTTGATTACATTAATTAGTCATCTAATTCAGTGATTTCAACTCACAGAACAAATCTCAATTTTATAAAAAAACTGCAACCTCTTTTGTTTTTTCAGTAGCTATGTGAACCTACAAACTAACACTGTTCTGTTAATCAATTTTTTCTGTTTTCTGTCTTGCCCCTCCCCCTCCTTTTCAACTTTAAAAGCGTATAAATTGATGATGAAAACTTAAACGAAATGCTTACATTTTGCTTACATGCATCAATTTTTTGTATAGTATTTCTTCTCTACTACCACTTAAACATTAAAGCAAGTTATTATCAGTCTATATAACCATTGTAATTTCAGGTAGGGGTATGCAGCTGATGAGCGACATGGTTAGGACATGTGTTACCTATGCTTAGTCATCGCCTTCCTCAACTGACGGGAAATGTTAGCTGCCAACATAGGGTCAGGCTGGAAAAGAGCTAGCGGCAGTCAAACCAAAACATGGCTTCACCAGTCAATGAAATCCACAACAGTTAATTTAAGCCAGCCAGTCACGTAGGAAGGTGTAGACTGGCTTCCTAGTTGGGGTCCTCGGGACGATAAAAAACCAATAAAGGCTGGAAACAATCGGTGATATGGCTCAAAGTGATCTTTCTCAATGATGGCTGGTGCAGATGCATCCACTCCTTGTGACTTATGATATCCAATAAAACTAACTATATTGTGCTTCGTTACTATTACTATTCCTTTTGTCTCACACCTCTATTTACTGTCTCTATTTTGCATTTCCTGTTTACTTTCTTCCATCGCTTTGTGTGCTACAAGGAGTGGAGTGTGACGACTTGAAGTGCTACACATCAGTGCAAAGTTCTATGTCGAAAACAAGCAGATAGACAGACAGCAGCTGATGAAAACCTGTGAAATAGAATGTTGATATCATATTTTATACTGCAAATTTCATCTTCCTTTCTTTACCGAAATGTATCAAGCGAACCAAATATATGATGAATTAGAAGGTATTATGCCTCGCTGAGTAAAGTTTCAAATTAGAACATGACATGAAAATAAGCTCATAACAAGAACAGCTTATAAACAACACGACAAGAACCTAATCATCATCACTATGATTAAACCATGCGAAAATAGTCATACTAGCCTAACTGGCTGGTTTACTTGTCCAAAAATAAGCTTACAAGAAATCTGTGTGAATAAATCACTTATGAAAGGTGTCAGAGAAAATAAGAAAACCAACCAACAACGAAGGCAACAATAGTACTCAGATTGAATTCACTCCAATGTAGGTTCCCTAACCAACGGAGTTGTTTTGTCTATGTTATTTGGTTATTACTCAACAGTGTTATGCAAACCTACAAACCTATAGGGAGTTGAATCCATGACCATCAGATAATGCGCGGTCAGCTCATTGACCATTGAGCTAATGATCCGTGAATTCGAACGTCTGTCAATTCATTACTTGGTACTACTACCAACTAACTAATGACCGTTTATGACAGTTAATGACAAAAACGCCATACTCACAACTCATGTTGGTTCACTAGACTTAAAGTTAAACTATCGTCATAAACCACAAACACACTGGAAATTCCACTTCTCACCTAGTTAATCTACTAAAAATCAATAAATCTGTTTTTATTTTTGTCTACCATCAATTATTTTCAGTTCTCAGTACAGACGCTTAGACAATGCTTTGAGGCTAATACCATATTACTTTTCTCGCGGTAGGTGATAGCTATGTCAGTAGAGTTCATGGGACATGTTTCGTTTCCTACATGAAACTCGCCATGTTGTTGTGCTTGTCTTCTCATTGACACCCGAACGTGGCACTTATCGTTCCATACATATCGAAGCGTTTTACCCTGGGCCACTGGGACAATAAAAACCACTTCTTGTACTGATAAGTTCCATATACGATTGTTAGCCGCCACCAACCTTCTTATTTTATTCCTTTGTGTTCTGGATGGCAAATAAGGCTTCAGAAGCGACCTTTTAAGTTCCAGTAACATGATGGGGATGTTAGCCTCATGTTCAACCTAAACCTCGTTACCAGACTAACCAAGGTAAAGGAGTATGTCTGTCGATCAGGGATTGAACCCCAGACCAGTTGCCTGGTTGACCAGTTAACCATCGACGTATGAAATGTGGAAAAATGCTTTAGAACATATTTTGAAAAAAAAATAGAAAAATAACACTTACAGATACATTTCGTGTTGCGTCAGTATTTGCCAAAGATGAAAATTCATTTCGTGGAAAGTGGGATAAGTTATGGTGGATATTAATATTTTCATTATTATTATTACAATTATTATTATTATGTGACATAACAGCATTCACTGTTTCATCTGACCTGTTGAACGCACATGAACTGTCTGATTTACAATCATAATGATATTGTTGGTGTTGCTGCTGATGAGGTTGAAATGACTTAAGATTTGAGATGGATGCCAGTGACGCAGATGAAGATGGTGTTGCAGAAGTAGCTGTTGCTGTCGCCAATGATGACATCGGCGTCTGGATAGTTGACGATGATGACACAGGATTACTGTTATTATTACTATTATTATAATTCATGAAAGATTGTAATTGTGGTTGACAGAGTAATAGTTGACTTTGAGCTTGTGTAAGCTTCTATATCAGGGATGGAAGAGAAAAATATGAATATAAGTAAGAATTGAAATCTTAGATTTTCCCGTCGATTGACTGTCGGTTTGTTGTGCAGATGCTTCGACAATGTCTGGTGGGTGGTGAATAGTAGGGGAATCCAGGATGTGGGCATTTCGTCCTAATTGGGACTCGTCGGTGGTTGGATTTACCTGCATTCCGCAGTGAGTGATGATGTTCTCACCGAGCCTCGAACCCCGTGCCCATAGTTTCAACCGCCATGTCAACCTGAGACCGAACACTTCGGTCCAATCAATTGACGAGAAAATCTAGAAATTCAATTAAATAATTAATATGACCCGTTGAATAAGAGGCAGTGGCTCTCGTGGCCCAAGTGGTCCAGTAGATAACGCTTCAGCTGGTTTTTGAAACTATGGGCAGTGGGTTCGAGAGCCTCGGTGGGAACACCATCACTAACTCACTGGGGGGATGCAGGTACATTCAGCTGGCGGACGAGTCCAAAATAGGACGAAATGCGCTTTATCCTGGATTCCACTGCTAGTCACCATCCATCAGTTAAAGAATTGAAATCATCTGCAAAGTTACATATACCTGATGCTCAGAAATCGGCTATTCAAAACAGTATTTTGTTATGTTCCAAAGACTATGTGTGAGAGAGAGGGGGAGCTAACTGTACTACTAAGTTGCCTACAGGCTGAAGTAGGTGGAATAGGGTATTGAAATTAAGAAACTATTAAAGGAAAGTCAATTACCAAGGTACCGATGTATATATGCCACATCTCCATCTATATCACATTAGTAATACAAATGTTTATGATGTTACTTTTACACCGCTTAATGAATATTTCTGTAACGGTAGAAAACGAATAACTTGGTAAAGGAACGTTTATTTGCCGAATTATGTAAACCTTATCTTCAACGCACCATCTGCGCACAGATCTTCCGTGTTGTTGTGCTTCTTCTGAGCTTCCTTCGAATTGTGTGTGTATATGCGTGTTTCTTTGTCTTGCTTTTCACGTCTCCCATGTATCTATCTCCACAACGCTGTATCATTTACTTTGTCTGATATCAAATCTACCTGCTTGCTATTTGATATTTTTATCCCGATGAATGTCTCTTTATTTACTATTGATTATCCTTATCAGTAGTACACGCCACATTTCTCCAAACTGTCAGTTGGTATCAAGTTTGTCCAACATCAGTTGGAGAAGCATTGGAAAACTAAGGAGCACTGAACGTCAATTTCGTTCTGGTTAACCGACTATTCCTCAGTATGCCCCCAGTAGGATTAGAACCCAGTACCTTTCGGTTACAAGGGAGGCTTGTAAACCATTTAGCCACCGGGACCCAATCCAGTGGTCAGCCCACAAAAGCCAACTCCTACCAATTTGTAGTTTTAGCGCGACCGGCACCCGTCAGTGTTATCGGCTAGTATTTGTCCTCACGCTTTTTAGTCAAGAGGTCTTGGATTTTCAACCCTGGCGACGGCGTACTGCTGAAAAGTTCCAAACTAGAATGAAACAGCTATCCAGTACTCGTTGGTGGTTTTCCATTGGTTCTTTAACCGATGTCACCTCGTCGTAGAACTTGATACAAATCAAATCCCTACAAACTAATCGCTGCAAAAAAATTTTTGTATTTACAAACAGTCATCTAAATCCAGGCAGTTAATAATATTTAAATCACAAGATTGATCATAAGACGAAAAACAATATGAACTGTGAAACGATTGATAAATCCAGATGGTAGTCAATAGAAATACACTTAGTAGACATGAATCACAAGATTCATATGAAAACAGTTTTCAAGGTTATCTATAAATACCCTTAAAGAAGACTAGTGAAATACTCTGAGGTTGATTAGTTATCCATACTAAGTTAAGGTAAGCTTCTAGATGTCTGCATAACAAACAATTTGTCTAGATAGTTGGAAGCAATCGGCCACAGGAAGCCAAACTAGACCTAGTGTTTCGTGTTTGTTGGCTGGCATTCACCAGTCAGCAAAGCATATCTGCAACCTTGAAGAAACTCATCATATCATATCATTGTCTTATTATATCGCCACGAGATATGTTGTTAACTGTTATTCTTCTTATTCTTATAATTCTTTTTAAAAGTGTTAATTGACCTTCCTTTTTCATTTTTTTTGGTAGAGATTTATTTAACGAATAAGTTAATGATTAGATTGTTCAAAATGTATTGCGCAAATATACATCATCTTTCTCGGATAAACATCATTTTCTAATATACAAAGCTCTCCGCAGACTGCAGGCGGTACACAGGTGACGAAGTCAAAAAGAAAAGAATTGAAAAGGCAAAACAGACCATCTTCCCCTTTGAAATCAGTTTGAAAACACTGTACACACAACAAAAAGAAGAAAATTCAAGTTTTCGACTCTAATATTAAGTCAGTCAGTCAGCCAGCCAGTCAGTCACTTCTTCTATATGGGTCAGAAACTTGATGCTCCTGTGACAGAAAGCATTTCCAACAGGCCACTACAGGCGTTTATCAACAGCTGCCTGCTCACTTCACTAGTTCCTTAATGATGTTCAGATGGCTGGTCAGAGAGAATAAGCAATAAGAAACTCCTCTAGAAACTAATCAATCAAGAATTACTGCTCAACAGATAAGGTGAAGAAAGTGGGGATGCATGAAACATCGCCTCCAGACAGTCCCTCAAGTGGAAGGTGGATAGGAAATGACAAGTTTGGTGTGTGTCCGAGGGTGACATGAAGATGATCATGTGAAGAGAAAAAGGAGGAGGAGGAGGTGAGACGCCAAGGGCTAGTCAAATTGGTAGACAGTAATTTGCGTCAATGTTTACATCCCCAATATTTGTCATGTGAAAATAAGAACAAAGACTGACTCAACAATCAATCACAGCAGACTTTGCGTAGGCGGATACAGTTAGCATATAGATGAACTAACATTCAAGAAACAGCCACAAAGAGATGAAAGATTAACTTTCAGCGAGAAACAACCAATCAGAAGACTGTTTTTCTGCTAACAATAATCTATAATAATAATAATAATGTACATGAAAATCTATAAATATGTGTTGATTTCCTAAATAAATAAACGATCTGTTGCCTGACCCCTGTCTTCTGTTGTTACAACGAGACCAGATTGAAGACGACCGCAGAAAATAGGATGCGGTGGAGATACGCTACTGAAGCCTCATACTTCATTGAATTCCAAGTCAATGTTTGAAAGATCAACAAGTCTCAGCACACCACCTGAATGGTGTAGACACACACACACACACAGTGTTGGATATTTCCAAACGAGATCGAAATAGTCAACTGGTTTTGAATGATTCTGTATCTAACTGATGTAGTAAATTTGAGACAAAATCCACACATTGAAACTCCTTCTTTCTAAAATGTTATTCCTATTGGCAAAAATCAATTTGTTTCTTCTTCTTTTGTCGTTGTTGTTGTTTTTGTTGTTGCAAGTGATTAACAAGACATATATATATATACATATGTATATGCTAAAACCATGTAAATCTGTATGTTTTATTTTGATACACGCACTAAAATATTCCAAATAATGGACAAAAAATAAAAGAATATTTTTTTCGAAAAAAATGTGAAACATAAAAAAGCAGAAAGAGGCATGAAAATGATTTTAGATTGTTTTTTTTTGTTCTCTAAAGTTTCAGATGTAAATCTTTAGATATGCAAGAGAGGCGATAAACTAACTAACATCACAACAACTACCATTAGCAGCAGCGTAGCAAACAGTATATGGATATAAGCATGCGGAACAACACATACACACGTGGATATGATTACGCTGGGGGAGCTTCTCAACCTCTGAGATTAACTAAATGTTGCTTGGTTACAGGATTTCATCATGATGAGCTCATATCAGACAGAGTACCATTGGAAAACCTCCTGGGAGTACCACCAGACAGTTAGCCGTTTCGTCAGCCTAGTGTGGGACTCTTCATCTGTACGCAACCACCCCACGCTGCAAGGCTTCGAATCCAGGACCTTCTGGTTACAAGGCGAGCGATCTCGTAGACCACTTAGCCACTGAGACCCGATCCAACGCTGAAGAGTCCCAAACTGGGCTGAAGAAACATCTGTCCAGTACTCCTAGTTTTTGCCAGTGGTTCTCTAACCGATGTCAGCTCATGATGAAATCTTGTAGCCAATCAATCAAATCTCTACAAACCAATCCTTGAAAATAAACGTTGCTTGTCATCGAAGGAAGAGTTACTGAGTATTCTTCCTTACGGACATCAAGCAGAACACACAAGAAGAAGCAGGTCAGTTCGACTTGAACTCAGTTATGCGGAATAGATGTGTTTATATGCTTGGTTGTTGATGCCAACCCCTTCCCAACCCCACTGCCATCCAGGTTGAAATAGGTGGAACGCGAAAGTCAACCCCTCCCATATGATCTGTTACCTGAGAAGGAACTTTTAAGGCAAACTGGCCACTTTTAAGAGCTTCACACAATCAATAAAACTGGTAGGCAGGTAGGTAGGTAGTTAGTTAGATAGGTGGGAAAGGTGTATTTCCACTATTACAAGGACAACTGGTTTGTTGGAGTATTCGAAAAGCAGAATGAGGTGATCGTGTAGTCAGTGGCACAGTGGTTAGGACTCTCGCCGACCATGCACATGGTCCGGGGTTCGAGCCCACGCCGGCGCACACCTGATACCTATGGTCGGCCTGCAAAATTTGGGCTACCGATATCCATGCTGAAAATTCCATACTTGTACCAAAAATACAGTGTGGAATCAAGCTGTAAATAAAAAATAAAAAAAATAAAAAAATAAAATAAATAATGTTCTCTATAAGACACATGAATCAGGTTTCTGCAAGTCAGGTATTGTTGAACTGAATTCAAGACACACATACACACACTATTCTGTTTATGACATAAGTGATCTTATTATTAATACCATTAAGTGGTTACATTTTTTAAAATTAAGGTGAATTACACCACATGATATCGATATGCCAAAAGACCAATCTTTTATTTCTTTGCAAACAGACAAGAACTTAGTAAGATAAACAGAAGATACAGACTTGATGATGATGGGTCGTTTGAATTCAGTGACGGCAGATTTTTTATAATTATTATTGATTTTTATTCTTTTTCCTTCAAGCTAGATCTTTGAGGATTATTCACTAGCAGTGGTGTTTTTTTCTCTCACAGGATGAGGTCGCTAGCCTCATACCCTAGACCTTCCATCTTTGCGGAGTCTACTACACCATCTAATCGAAGTAAAAGAAGTTCGTCTGTCGGAGATTTTAAACCCAGATCATTCTCTTGAGTCGCCAGTCGTCTAATACTGAACCACTGACGCAGAAATGGAAATTTATTTATGGATTATATGTATAGAAACGTAGCTTCATACTCTGAAGTGTATGCGGTGCCCCACACACATATACACCCACCAAACGTGCGAAATGGCCCTCTGGTTGTCGGTTAGACCACTTCGAACTGTCTGCTAGTAAGCAGTATAGATGAATGACGTGAACTGATCATAACTGTAAATCAATAGTTTATTGATTTATTTAATTAAACACATAAAAACTTGGTAGAGTGTGGCACGGAGATGTGAGAAAAAATAGGATATAGAATGATTAAAGGATTTTATCTGGGAGGAAAACAGTCATATTTAACAAGTTCAAACAGCGCTCGTCAATTAGCGTTGGAAACGGAAGAAAGAAGGAAATTGAATCACGAGGTTTCCAGCCACCTATTTGAGCTGTCTCCCCAACCCCAACAAGGGAGTTGTGACTCATCGACACAAATTTCCTACATTCCACGATGCCACGTCATGGCCTGACTCCCTCTCTGCTTTTTTCCATCCCATCCCAGGGCTAGCGAACAGAGGCCCTTACTGAAGCCTCTAGGATGATATTCGTAGCACACATCCAAACCATCGGAGCCGGTGTTCCCAGATGACGACGTTCAACGAATGGCAATCTCCACTGCGTCTAAACACACTCCGCCGAACCTTAGGGTTACTCACGTGATGATGCCATCGAAAGCAAGCCACCTCAATTTTAAATTGAATGAATGAAGTTCAGAATAGCATATCACTTATGTCTGTAGAAGAGGAAGATAACTGTTTATCTTTCCTAGACATATTGCCAAGTCGACGACGGCTTGATGAGTCAATAAAACGATCTATTTATAGAAAACCTACCTGGACAAGACAGTATCTTAATTACCACACAGTTTCTGCCCTGTTTGGTACAAAAGAGCCTTAGTAAGGTGCCTCTTCAGTAAAATTCAATGAATATCCACTGAGGACATACTTGACGAAGAAGAAAGAAAGTTAACACAAACTCTGGTTGATAACAATTTTCTAAACAAGTTCATCAAGAGATATAAGGTAGTCAGAACACCAAGATCCACTCTCCAACTCTACGCTAACAAAGACGTGTACATCTAGCTACCCTACATAGGGCATCATAGCAGCTTGATAACTAGACTAAGATTGAAAGCTGCTGTTAAAAAGACTTTTTATGCAGCAGCCAATATCATAACAATTGAGAACGTGAAGCCAATATATCCATCTAAGCTCTTTGAACATGCAAAAAAAGATGTCACATCCCACTGTATTTACCAATTCGAATGTACGTATGGACACACATACAAACATAGAAGGGAGGACTCATCGATATCTGCAAGTAAGAGCTGGCTTCAGAGCATATTCCCAAATGGCTCCAGAAGCAGATAGAATCTTCAGAACCCATTAATGTTGAGAACAGGAGACCTAGCTCCTCTATTTCAAAACATATTATAGAGACAAGACGTATAAAATTGACGTTAACACATCTTTTAAACCTACCTATAAAACGTGTTTGGGAGAGGGAGTATCCTAAAGTTTGTGGAAGCTCTAGCAGGCAATCAGAAAGTTTAAGCCACCTTTATGCCTTCAAAGATAATAATAATAATCTGGAAACCACATCAAACACATGAGAAATTACCACGCTATTTGTCTGTATGAAGTTCATTTCAAGACTGTTTATTAAGTACGTGACTTTGAATCGGTAGTTGTATCATACACACTCATACATCCTAGATTTTAAACAAAATTGGCGAAACAAATGTTTTGGCGGGAACGGGTCGGGAGGTATAAAACAACAGAGAAGATACTGGAGGTTTACTTACCTCATGAAGTTTTTGATTTTCATCCATTAAAGCAGCTATATGCGTAGCATAACATGTTTGCATTGATATAAATTGTTCAAATAATCTTTGACGAGCTGTATCTACACCGCATCTTGATTCAATAGCAATTGTATACTCATTAATAAGTCGTACTAAATCTGCCCATATTGCTTCTAAGGCTAAAACTGCAGCTGGTAAACTATTCTTCATTGGATTTGTAACTAATACTGGAGTAGTATTCATTGGATTATAACAATTATTCTGTCCATCTGATGTTTGAGATACAGATCGTCTAGCATTAGGCAGCTTCATAGAATCTTCATCAGAATTTCGTAAATTAACTATAGAAAAAAAGAAATATGAGTAACAGTTAAAACAGTTAATATTATTATTATTATCAGAGATGTTTTTTATTCCTTAACGTTCCCACTGGGAAAAAAGGCCTCAAGCTGGAGGCTTGAAGTTTGTGTAACAGTGGTGATTAATTTTTCTTACAGGATAGGGCTGCTAGCCAGCCCCACGCCAAACCTTCCCTCCTCACCAGTCTTACTAACGGCCTAGTGAGGTAAATGAGGAGCGCGTCTGTGACTGGGGATCGAACCCCAGACCACCTAAATAATAGCTGGCGATCATTTCTACCGCTGTGCCACCGACTCACATCAGCTTGATGGTAAGTTATCATATTTGACAGTTTTAGACAATATCTTAAGGTTAGCATAATGTTTTCTGGTTGATGATCCTAACTAGTGGAATCTAAAAAAGCGGTGTTTCGTCCTATTTTGGGTCTCATCAACTCGATACACTTGCATCTCCAGTGAGACTTGAACCCAGTATCTATCATTTCAAAAGGCAAAGAGTGATTCATCACACCACTGGGATGCAGATACACCAGTCTGACAAGTCCTAAACAGGACGAAACGTCACCTCGCTCTGTTTTCTGCTGTCCTCTTCAGCTGGCTGACTGCACGATTGCCCATAATCTCTGATCTCCTCCTCCTCCTCCTCCTCGCCACACAATATCCTCCATATCACCCTCACAGTGACAACTCACTCCTCATTACCCATCCGCAGTCCACTTGAGGTACTGTCTGGTGCACGATAACAGTTGACGATCTCCTCAATGTGTGCCCAATCCGTCTCAATTTTCTCCGACACTTTTATTGAGAGATCGGCTCTTAGTTGGTGTGTTTGCAGCCAGTGTTTATTGTTGCTAATTCTTTCTGGCCGGCCGGCCGGCCATTTCATATTCATTAGGAAACCAGCGAAGCGGGCAGCTGTTCATAAAAGTCTGTAGCTTGTTGGAAATCCTTCTCATGACTCACCCGTCAAGTTTTCGACCCGTATAGAGGAACTGACTGACCAACGTGACACGTGTTAAAAATCCCTGTCGTCTTTGCTGGGTGAGTACAGAAGATTTCCGAAGCTTCCCGATTCTAGCTGACTTTGACAACTTCAACCTTTCCGACTGCCTGTGGTTGAAACGATGCTTTCTGTATCAAAATCTCTCCCGTTAATGGTGACTGGTACTGGTTGTTGTCATTGTTGCTGTTGGCTTGTTTGTTATCTTCATCATCTCCGTCTTCTCTATGTTCACCTGGGGTCCTGTCTTCGCTGTCTGTATATTCAGCCAGTTTGTTGTTTTTCGCCTGCCTGCCTGCCTGCCTGCCTGTAAGTCTTCGAGTTTGTATGACACTGAACAAAAATAATCCAGGCGCGAAATCTAGATCTTCTAGAGTTTTTTTTTACAGGTCAGTGCAGCGTATTCATGTCAGTCTGGTGCATAGTCCAGTCCACCACAATTAAGAATATCATAGTGGGTGATAATGGGCAACCAGCCTTGTCTTACTCCCGTAATCACTTTGATCACCTCGCTAAGTTTTTCGTTGTGGATCACTTGGCACGTGCCACCATCATATAGCCAGCTGTTGAATGAGATTAATAAAGATTTGGGGTACTTCACACAGTAGTTTTGAAGTAGTTTCCAAATCACTTCTCAATCAACGCTCTCTGTCGAAGTCGATGAAGTTGAAGTAGAGAGAGATTCGACTGCCAGTCTATGCTTTGATCAATGAGCTATTCAATGGTGAACTGAATAGTAACATTAACTTTCACAAAATAAGTATGGCTGATATTTTATTAGACACTGTCATCTCCGAGTACAAACGTTTCAACGGCATCAAAAAAGACCAAACATTTCAGTTCACTGTTGTTAAAAACATTCAACTTAAAAACAAACAATAGCTGATATCCATGGAACAAGAGATGTCTGTCGTGATCCCCATTGGCTTTAGTGTTTGAAACGATAGATTCAGGACTTCAGTATCGGTGGGGACTTTATCAGACAGTCTCTAGGAATGGTAGATACCACCAGATGATAAGTCCCAGGTAGGATAGAGCGCTCAACTTTGGATTCCTCTGCTAGTCATCCTAACCGTATCATAACCATATAAACTGTGTGATTAATAGCTATTCTCTCATCAATAATAATAATAATAATAATAGTAAAAATAGTAGTCAACGAGAAATTGATGACCTATCTTCATATAGTATAAAGAAACATGTCATGAGACAGTTTACTTTTGCAGTTCACAATTTCTCCACAGATAAGCATGTTTTATTTTGGTTTTACATTCATTTACTTTCAAAACAAAGTCTGTTTTTATAGACTCTTCACAGTGTCATAGTGACATGATGCTAGTAGAATTTGAAAAGCTTGGTTACCCAACTGATTAATGTATTAATATAGAACTTACTATTATTATTATTATTATTATTATTATTATTATTATTATTATTATAAAGTTGTTTATTTAATACTTATGAAAATAGGCTGTTAACCAGATAGTAACTTAACTGTTTATCTATCAGATGAGATGGTAGTGTGTCACATTGTCTTCTAGTGTTATTCTTTCTTATGTAGGAGAAGAAGAAGAAGTAGGGGGAGCAGGCGACCAGTTGTCATAATGTATGAAATGGCATAGTGTCTAGTCATTGTTGGAGAAAATCAAAAAAAACCAACAGACTGGTAGAAGAAGCAGCAGCGAAGAGAGGACTTCAAAAGAACATAGAGAAAAAGTAGGTGATGAAAGCATTGTTTCAACTGCAGACGAATGGCACGGATGAAGATGTCAAAACCACCCGAAATGGAAAAAGTAAGACAGACCTTCATCACCTGGAAATCAGTTTGGAAATCTTCTCCACTCCTCTTTAGCGTAAACAATAAGATTCAGATGTTCAACACCGATATAGGGTCACTTCGCCTATATAAGTCAAAAAATTTACCGGGTACATCATGACAAGCATTTCTAGAAGGCGGCTGGAAACTTTTATCAACAAACTGCCTTCTCTGCATATTGAAGATCAAATAGCTAGAAAAGATTAACGACAAGAAACTCTGGCGGTGCAGCGAACTAACCAACAAATCAATAAACATTGAAAAGGAAATGGAGATGGATTGAACATACGCCGAGGAGCCCGTCAAGTGATAACGTCTCCAGGCAGGGAAACGACCGGCGAGACGTCTGAGGGTGGCATGAAGGTGATCATTTAAGGAGAAGATGAAAGCTTATGAGAAATCGTGCGGAGGGCGGCTAAAGGGGACAGCAGAGAAGAAGATAAAATGGAAACGTACTGTTGAAACACTCTGTTCCACCCGGAACCCAAAGTAAGAGCAATGATAATAAATTTGTTGGGATTCATCAGCCTGACATCCTGAAGGGGGCTGATTACTCGGAAGTCGAGTAGTTAGGCCAATGAGACACATATTTACACCTCTCTAGTTAACATAAGTCTCTTTTTTAAGAACTAGGAACAAATAGAGTTGATCCTGAAATGCTAAGTAGTACTATGATGCATAAGGTTAATCAAGCAGGCTATGATTCTCACCCCTGTAATCGAAAAACACACATGACACGAAGCAACAGCTCAGTCTGAAGTAAGTGGATTTAGTCGTAAGGTCATGGATCAATAAATTAATAGTAGGATATTTGGATTACTCAGTCATAAATTTTCAATGGTGAGATGATAATTAAACCATGATCCGAATTAAATGTATACCTTAATATGAAGATGTTGATAAAGCAGAGAGTATTCAATTGTTTGACATACGATTTTGTCCTATCAGATATAAGATGATGCTACAGGATTGGATTACATGGACTCCTAGCTTAAAGATAGAAAGTAAAATGGTGGAGCATGTTGACCAGTCCATCCATTTAGGGAGAAATCTCAGCACGGATACAAAAACCTAGTGTGGGATCTTCCAGCTTATGCCATTTCTGGTTGACTGTCGAACAAAAAGGTGTATGTACTGCTGCTCAGCACTCCGCTCTTTCCGCCTCCGTTACTACTGTGGGCTAGACATGACCACTGAAAACGGGATGATACGAAAAGCACGGATAGCTGTCTAAGATCATATGTGTCTGCGTTCGACTGCCCGTGTTACCTGGTAGTATAATAGGGTGAGCGATATTCATCGGTGGTCGAGTGCTAGTTAGGGAGGGAAGACCAGTCGAGGAGGTTATGAAGCAGCTGCATCGATTGAGGTGGTTAGGACAAGTGTTACGCATACCACCGTGACATCGATCGCCTTCCTCAACCGACGGACAATGTTAGCTGACTGACACAGGATGGATGAGGTTGGAAAAGTGTTAGCTAGTGGTGGTCAGACCAAGACATAGCTTCACCAGTCAATGAAATCCAAAACAGTTAGTTTAAGCCAGTCACGTAGGGAGGTGCAGACTTCTGAATAGTTGGAGTCCTTGGGATCCTAAGGACTAATCGTTGGAGACTATTGGCGATGTGACTCAAAATCCTCGTTCTCAGCCGCTGGCGCAGATGCATCCGTACTTTTTGATCTGTCATATTCATTAAAACCTACTATTTCTCCATGTTTACAGTTGTTTCTCCCTCACATTTAGGCTTATTATTGTTCTTTTTTTCTTTCTTTTATGTTCCTTTGCGTTGTACATGGAGTGTATCAACTCGAACTGCTACACCTCTGTGCAAAGTTCTATTTTATACCTAGCCAGTGAGTGCCTTAGTGTGTCAGCCGAAGAATATTTCCCTTTAGAAAGATAAGATGTCGACAAGTGACTCCTTGATAGTTTGGCTCATTCAAGCTGCTCCACAGCCTAATATTAACAATTCTCACTCAAAATCCACATCGATTAGAAACTATTTAAAATCGGATTCACATTGAACCAAATGTACATGATCGAGTAGAATAAGCTCGCATTAATAATAAGCATCCATTTGAAATTAATCACCAATGATACTCCTAATTGTGGTGGACTGGATTATGCGTCAGACAGTGGGAAACGAGAAAACAGGGATATGCTGGACCAACGTGAAGATTTATGTTTGATGTCACACAAAATCGAAGACTTACAGGCGAAAACCGACAAACTGGTCGAAGAAGCAGCCGGAGAAGACAGAACTCCAGGTGAACATAGACAGGAGGGCGGTTATGAAAATAACCAACCAAAAACAACAACAACAGCAGCAACATCCATCGCCAGTCACCATCAACAGGAGGGATTTGAAAGAGGTTACTTCATACACTTATCTAGGAAGGGAGCATTGTCTCAACTATAGGCAGTCAGAACGGACGAAAATGTCAAATCGAGAGTCGGGAAGGCGAGAAACACATTCATCAGCCTGAAACCAATCTGGAAATCTTCGTCACTCAGCATCAACAACAAAATTCAGTCGGATTTTCAATACAAACAACGTCAAGTCAGTTCTTTTATACGGATCAGAAACTTGGATGGCGGGTCACAAAGAATATTTCCAAAAGCCTTTTGCAGACCTTTATCAACTAACAACTGTCTTCTCGGACCTATACTGAAGATCATTCAGATGGCCGGGCCGGAAAGAATCACCAACAAGAAACTATGTCAACAAACAAACAAAACAAGAACCAATCGCCAACCAACACATATGCAGGTGGGAGAAAGTGGAGATGGATGGATTGGATACTCGCTGAGGAGGCCGTCACTGGGTGACGTCGAGCACGCGTCAGGCCATTGCTCGAGTGGAATCAGGCCGAAAGGGAAGTAGCGATTGGGACGTCAGTGCAAGGGTAACATGGAGGAGATCGTGTGAGGAGGATGAGTTGAAACAGTATGGACTAACATGGATGATGCAGGTGAAAAGTACAGCACAGCAGAAGACAGAAGTGGCAAGTGGAGATGTGCAGTTGAAGCCCTATGTTCCACTAGGAACCCAAATGAACAATAATAATAATAATAATTTGAAATGAATTAATACACTTACCGAAATGTCTAGTCCATAATCCTGGACCTGTTCGACTAGCTGCACCTTGTGCAGCACGTGCAGCTGCCATTGCTTTAGACCTTTGTTTCATTCCACTACGATCCAACTGACAAGTATTTAACTTTTTCCGACATTTTTGAAAAGTTGATGTTGTACTGCACAATTTCCGTTTATTATGCTTATCATCATTTAAACACTGAAGATTATTCATACTATTCAATTGTCTAGAAGCAGTACTAGTGGTAGTAGTAGCAAGGAACACTCCAGGACATGAAGATGTCCTTCTTCGACGTTGATGACACTTATTCATTATTATTCGACTAAGTGAACGTGTCTTACGCAATCGATGTTTACAGGGAGTAGGAGATAAGTGAGAGAAATTTTTCTTAACACACTTTATATCATACAAATGATTAGAATTAGAAGTTTCATGAATTGAATTATTTTGATTATTAGAATCAGGTGATATTGATTTATTTTGATCCCCTGTGATCCAACGATGCTGATGTTGTAATCTTGATGAATTGATATTTCGATTCGATTTATCACAACTACACCGACTACTAGTTGTACTATCTGTAGAAGAACTTCGTGTTCGACTGCTTCTTGAACCTGAACTATACTCTTCACTAGATGAACGTGATCTAGTCGAATTTCGAGTAGAATCATTATAGTCATTTTGTTTTTTATAGCCTGTTGGTGAATGCCGTCTATGCCGACGTTTACGACTTGATGATGGTCTAATTAACTTTTTATAATCAGTTGTATTATTAAAGGGTTTTAAACAGACATTAGGAATAAAATCACGATCATAATGATGTGCAGCATCTTGAGTGACAACTCGATGAGAATGCAATAACAATGGAGGTCCTGTTTGAAACTTTTCAGGAAGTAATTTTATTTCACTGAAAGATAAAAAAAAACAACAAAAAAAGAGAGAAACAATATAGTATGCTTTAATTGTACACGTGAACAAGAAGAAAATAATCTGCAAGGGGTTATGAAATTTTGACTGACAAATTGTACTGAGAGAGGAAAAAAGAAAAAGCTCGAGGCTTCAAGTTTCTGTAGCAGTGGTGATTCATTTTCCCTTACAGGATGGGGTTACTTACTAGCCAGCCTCATACCCAACCTTCCCTCTTTACCAGTCTTACTACTGGCTTAGCAAGGTTAAGAAGGAGGAGTGCGTCTGTGGTGGGGGATCGAATCCTGATGCACATGCATCGTCGGCAGACACTTTACCGTTGTTCCACCGACACACCATAAGTATATGTGCGTACAGTATAACACAGAACACTGTCTGTGTCTGCCTGTCTGTTTTCGACACAGAACTTTGCACCGATGTGCAGCAATTCAAGTCGTCACACTCCACTCCATGTAGCACACAAAGCGAGGGAAGAAAGTAAACAGGAAATGCAAAATAGAGACAGTAAATAGAGGTGTGAGACAAAAGGAATAGTAATAGTAACGAAGCACAATATAGTTAGTTTCTTTGGATAGCATAAGTCACAAGGAGTGGATGCATCTGCGCCAGCCATCATTGAGAAAGATCACATTGAGCCATATCACCGATTGTTTTCAGCCTTCATTGGGTTTTACCGTCCCGTGGCTGGCTTAAACTAACTGTTGTGGATTTCAATGACTGGTGAAGCCATGTTTTGGTTTGACCACCGCTAGCTCTTTTCCAGCCTGACCTTATGTTGGCAGCTAACATTGCCCATTGTTGAGGAAGGCGACGACTAGGCGTACGTAACACATGTCCTAACCATCTCAGTCTATGTAGCTTCACAGCCTCATCGACTGATTTCCCCTGTTTACCTAGAACTCGACCAATGCCTAACCTCAATATTGCTCACCTTATTATACCACTTCACACGGGAGATAAAGCCCAGCCACCTATGATCAAAGACAGCTAATCTTTTCATGTCTTCCACTCTCAATGGCCACGTCTCGCTCACAGCCATAAAGGAGGACTGAACGAACTACTGAGCAGTAAACCTGCCCTTTGGTCGATAGTCGGATCTCACGTCTGTTATGCCCTCTCTATCCATACTTCGATTTCGTCAGGGGCCAACTGATTGCGGCTGATATAGAACAACGTAAGGATATACACTAAAAACCATTCATTCATAAAACGAGGTATTAGCAGTAACGATATCAGAAAATGTTATCATACAACTATCTAAGCTTTATAACCCTAGGGGAAAAAAGCACATGACGTTTTCGTTTTGGTAGAGAAAACTAAATTGGAAACAATGATAACGTCAGTATAAGATTCAGAGTTAGAATATTATAGAAATTGTAGAATGGTGAGTAGTATTCAAGCACGATAGCTAATCTATCCGAAAAAACTGGAAATACAATGTCCAATTTTTAGTTCAGTTGTATGAAAATAAATGTATATATTTCAATAGCTCTGAAACACACCTTATACAGCTAGATATATGTTCAAGACATTAGAATTAATTCTGTTGGTAACACCCTTTTTTACAGGATTTCATCATGAGCTTACATTGGTTAGAGAACCATTGGAAAACCAACTGGGATTACTGGACAACTGTTCCGTCTTGGTTTGTGACCCTTCAGCAGCAGTACGCACCCATCAGGGTTTCAACCTTCTGGTTACAAGGCTAGCGAGCTGGTAGACCATTAATTCACTAGGACCCGACTGATCCACTGGTAAGCCCACGAAAGCTAACTTCTGCCAACCAACCAAACTCAATCCCTACAAAATCAATACTTGAAAATTTCGTAACTTCACATCAGGATTCCAGGTGGCAGTTACCGGTGAGCAGTAGATTAAGTTTCAAGCGTTGAATGAGACTTCTTGGACTTTTTATTGCGTCGGTGGTACAGTGGTTAGGACTCTCGCCGACCATGCATATGATCCGAGGTTCGAACACCTGCCGACGCACACTTGATATCTATAGTCGGCCTGCAAAATTTGGGCTACCGATATCCATGCTGAAAATTCTATACTTGTACCAAAATTACTGTGTGGAATCAAGCTTTTAATCAAAAAAATGTCATGACCAGTTGGGTCAATCAGTTCATGGGTTGTTTTTCCAACTTACCTGTAACTCATGCAGTAGTTTGCTGACTACTGCTCTACAGCTTTGAGATATAATTGTGTGTGAGAGAGAAAGAGAGGCTAAAAGCACTGTAGACAGAATAATACTGAAGTTGGACGTAGAACTGTCAGGGAAAACAACTTATCAACTGATGAGGTTGAAGATTTTCATCAACCAAGGAGAGTAGGACACTCACACATGCTGTATATATGAAATAACCACCTTCCACAACAGTATCCTGCCTAATTTGACGTCACTTTATAAAGTCGTAGACTGATAAGGAGCATACGCTGCCTCCATGCTATCGGAAACCAATGAGACTAGACGTTTTCACACTATCTATAGTTTGGTTTGTAAGGATTAGTTATGTTTTACGGGTTGATCACGGATTGATATCAGTTAGAGAACCATTGAAAACCAGGGAGTACTGGACAGCTGCTGTTTCATCCTAGTTTGGGAATCATCGGCAGTACGCACCCACTGGAATTCGAACCCGGGACCTTCCGGTTACAAGGCAAGCTCGTATACCATTCAGCCACTGGGACCCGATTCAATGGCTCGTGAATTCTAACTTCTACCAATTCGTGATTTAGCGCGACCCCAACCATTGTCGTTGGTGGGACATCCATCCACACACGTGACATCTAATTGGACCTCACTGGTCACGACTTCTCACTAGAACTCAGGAAACTCCAACCTGTAGCAAGTCACTAGAGAGCATCAGATCCTTACAAACCAAACTATAGAAGGTTGATCTGATGCTCGCTAGTGACTTGCTACAGGTTGGAGTTTCCTGAGTTCTAGTGAGAAGTCGTGACCAGTGAGGTCCAATTAGATGTCACGTGTGTGGATGGATGTCCCACCAACGACAATGGTTGAGGTCGCGCTAAATCACGAATTAGTAGAAGTTAGAATTCACGAGCCATTGAATCGGGTCCCAGTGGCTGAATGGTATACGAGCTTGCCTTGTAACCGGAAGGTCCCGGGTTCGAATTCCAGTGGGTGCGTACTGCCGATGATTCCCAAACTAGGATGAAACAGCAGCTGTCCAGTACTCCCTGGTTTTCAATGGTTTTCACACTTTATCATCTCGAAACAACTTTCCGCATTGCTTTGCTTCCTTTCATTGTTTTCATAAGCTTATTATTATTAAGCTTTTCAAACCTCACACAAAAATCCACAATGAACCACCATAAGTGAGTCTCATTCACTTGTAGAATTCGAACTGACAAATTAGCATAAAAGTTGTGGAATTTAGTTAAATAGTATTTTGAAGTGTTGATTGACTTCAATTCAGATTGTAAATTGGCTGCCCAGGCTCAGGTCGATGAAGCAGCAGGACTCGAATCTGCAATCTACTGACTGTAAAACGAGTATGTAAGCTAATCAGACATTTTATTTATTTATTTTTGATTACAGCTTGATTCCACACTGTATTTTTGGTACAAGTATAGAATTTTCAGCATGGATATCGGTAGCCCAAATTTTGCAGGCCGGCCATAGATATCAGGTGTGCGTCGGCAGGGGATCGAACCTCTGAATAATTAATTCCACGGAAACACAGTTCCGTGGCACTTTTGAAATATTTAGTTATTTAAGATAATAATAATCATAATCATTAATAGTCACTGTGTGTCCTTTAGACCATGTCACACTTTCACTAACGATATCAGAGTGTTATCCCGCCAATCCTAACTAGC